CCTATCCCAGGACAGAAAACAGCCCCACGATAAACTCTGTCACAGCCATCTGCCTTCTCAGCAAAGACTACAGCGACTTAAAAAACCTGAGAGAGGTCCACAAGCATTTCCCAGAAGTGACTTCAGAGTTGCATAAACTGTCTGTATGAAGTGCTAAGAGATTTTTATTATGTGTGTGGGTTGGAACAGATGGACTGGTTTGTAATGGGAATGCTTTTCTCCAACTGCACTCTGCAGTATGTTAAAATACTTGTGGGTGTGTCTGAAACATTTTAATTTGAGGCCAGGTAGGGGAACAGAGAGGAGAAGATACAGCGTTGCGTCTAGGTCCTTTCTCATAGGGTGACGTGCTCTTGCCTCAGTTTTTTATCACTGTGTTTAAATTCATCAGATGAAAATCTGTTGCTTTTTCCTGAAAGGAAAACAACGGCACAGTTTTGTGGTTGCCAACAGCTTTGTGACATTAAACAGAAAACAAGCACAAAATCCCGTCCAGTCCCACAGAGCATATGTGCATATTTAAGACCTCAGTCCATATGGCAAAGTCTATTGTATAAAAATATCAAATGTTTCTAAGCCTTGAAGAAATAGCCTTTTAAATCAGAAATCAGTTTTTTCTAATAGGAAAAATAATTCAGACTGTAATCTTGCCTTTAATAAATGCTTTCAAAAGCAGTGAAAACATTCTGTCTAAAACATTATTACTAAACATTCACAGATTTCGAGTCAAAGTAATCCTCTTCTGGCTAAATAGCTACCACTACTGTGGTCTAAATGTCTTTATACAACAATGAAGCACATGAAAAATAAGGGAAATTCAACAACAAATCCATTATCCCTCACCCTCTCCCTCTCTACCTCTCTTACACACAGACACAACCAGCAGAGACAGATAAAGGTCACATCACACTGCTGATTCTGTAGGACATATAAATTTAGCTTTCATCACTTTTCTGCAGAAAGTGCTTTGAAATAAAATTTCCTCTGATGAAATAAATCAAAATGTGCCTGCATCTATTGAAACTGTCAAATGATGAACTCTGTCTAATACTTAAACTTGATGTACTGGCAACAACTTAGACAGCTTGAGCTTCAATGCAAATACATCAAAATTAAACATTGCACAGCTCCTCTCCAGTACACCATGCGCAAAGACGTTTTCAACTATCTTTCCTTATCAGAGTGGTGACTAATGCTGTTTCCAGCTTTCTAATATACAATACATTCAACTGACATATGACCAAAGTATCTCAGATACCATATGTATGAGGTAAGATGCGGCAGGATCTGAGTGCCTATCTGCAACAGAATGAACCAATCAGGCAATTAATTGATCAGTCACAGAAAAACAATTAGAAACTTTTTTTATATAAAATGAATTGATGACGATTACTTTTTTTGTTAGATCGTAGCGCTGGGTATTGTCCATAGAATTACAATGCCAGGACCATTGCGATTAAAGTGATACTGATACCAACAGTATACTTCATTTGATACCTTTTTATTTTTTTAATTTTTTTATTTAACCTTTATTTAACCAGGAAGTCCCACTGAGATTGAAAATCTCTTTTACAAGAGAGACCTGGCTGAGGTAGCAGCCAATCAAAACACATTTAAAATACAACAAATACAACATATAATACAAAAATCCACAATAACAACAACTATTCAAACATAGTGGCCTCTCAAGAAAAACAAGCACATGTCTCTGTCACCATGTTCTTTGTGATGCCCTTAAATTCATTCTTGGATATAAGTGTTCCTAATTCTAGATCTTTTTGAAGATTTTTCAACGTCCAAGGAGCAGAGTAGGAAAATGCAGTTTGTCCCAGATCTGTTAAAACCTGAGGTGCATTGAAAAGCAACCACCTGGAGGAGCGTAGCTGGTAATTACCTGAGCTGACACACAGCAGGGTGCAGAGGTAGGCTGGGAGTTTGCCCAATATTGCTTTATAGATGAAAATATACCAGTGCAGCTGTCTGCGAGTGGTCAGTGACGTCCAACCCACCACATCATTAAGAATGCAGTGACGAGTAAGTGACTTTGTATTTGTAATAAAACATAGAGATGCATGATATACTGAATCAAGGCTACGTAAAATGGAGGAGGTTTTTCCTACTTTATCTGTCACCAGACGCCACAGGTGTGTAATATAGCCATACTTTCCAACCTTTTGATGGCATTTCAGCACACTGAACTGCCAACTCTGTCAATACACCGATACACTGTGCTCTACCTCACCACACCACAGACTGTAGCCTATGGGTTATATCTGCTGCAGTAGTGGGCCAATCAAATGTTTCACTAAATTAAAGAAGCTAGCCTCCATTTTTGTCAGCAAGCAAAAATATATAATAAATAGTCCTTTTTTAAAGATGTGGGTACAAAACAGATCAAATGCAGGTATCATCTGACTGGACAAGTTTTGATATCACTTGGCACTGGAATATTTTGGTCGATAACCTGAAAGGTGTCGAGTGCCAACACTCAGCACCATTTGATAGTAAATGGAATATCTTTGGGTTTAGACTGATAGTCAGACAAAACAAGGTATTTTCAGCGGTGCCATGTAGATACTGATATTGTGAATGAAAGCAGGAGTAGCTGAGTCTGTGTGGAGCGAACGAGTCACAGTGTAAACTTCAGGCTGACGCACCACTCAAACATAATCCACCTGAGTGACTGAGTGAATGAGTGAGTGATCCATACAGCAACTCTCTGGCCATTACATGCACACATACACACTTGTGCATAGACACACATGCACAATCTCTCTCTCCCCCACACACTACCACCACCAGCACCGCTGTGTTATTCATTTACAGCATCCCTCCTAGTTGATGTGTATAGGAACGAATCAAGGGCAGATTCACGGTTTGTTTACTTCTCCAAAGTCTCAAATTCACACACAATCAGTGCCAACAACAAACTGGACTGAGACCACTGAGAGAGGAACTAGTCCACTCTGTCAATTACTATTCATATATTCTGAAATGAAAACAAATGAAATAAATTTTCAAGTTCTAGGTCATATCCACAACCCTCCTCTCATACCTGAAACATCTGAGACACGACATTACATTCAGACTGACTCTGAATGCACCACGCACACATTCATTGTAGCCTTGATGAGCAGAAAAAGTACTCTAAAATAAGACGGTGAGCAATATGACTTGAGGAGGGCTTACTATCTAACACATCACATCTATAAGTGTGCTCTCTTCTCTCACCCTCAGGCAGTCTGGCCATTACCCAGACTAGTCCTTGTACGCAAATGACCTTTTTTTCTTTTAATAATGAATGGATAGGTAACACAGACTGAGCACTGACTGCAGCATTATGAAATGAATATCATCAAGTTCTCCACTGGATCTTGGCCAGGTGTCTCTATCCGCCACGGTCAACCAGGAAATCAGAGTTAATTAAAATATCTGATTTTAGTTCGATGCTCCTGCCGATGTGGGAGCAGCAGACAACAGACCAAATTAGTGAGGACAGCAATGTTCACAGTCAGTCACCTCCACATATGGCTTCTGCTGGTTACAGTAGGGCCAAGGAGGTTTAAATAGACTGATGCAATTATCGCAGAGTCTGACATGATTAGAGACAGATCCTGCCGCAGGGTTTGTCTCTAATTAACGTGAGCACTCTTCCTCTCTTATGCAAATACTATCACTAAATGCAAGTGCTATTAAGGAAGCCTGTTGAGATGAGTGGAAAGGTTTAAACTTCTGTTGAAATACCTAGTTTTATTTGCTCCCAAAACCTAATTTAAATCATATTCATGTGCTTATTTAGTCAAGTCAGCAAGTTCTAAAATAACGGGCATTGACTTTAGGCCTGGCACACAGGGTTAATCTCTACGTTAAATAAAAGAAGGTAGTGTGAGGGGAAATAAATAATTGATAACATATGTCTTCCGTCGGTGCAGAACAGAATGTTCTCGCTGCAGCAGCACCAGAGGCTGAAGACTGAGCTGCACCACAAACACCAGGCTCACTTCTCTGGTGACCAACTCCATTTAAACTACCAAACTAAGACACACACTAAAACACACACACACACACACACACACACACACACACACACTGTCACTAGCAGTCTGGCCTTTAATAGAAGCCTGCACCACATATAAAAAATGTAACCTTTAAGCATAGAGAGTCATATTCTTTTTTTTTTTTTTTTTTTTTAAATATTATTAGGATTAATAGTATTATCATTGTCATTTTATGTATCCAAATATTGCATGATTCTCTTGAAATATTTTTTATATTTGTTTCTGTCTTTTGTTTTTAAGAATTTACACTGACGTACAGTGCAGGCAAGGTTCTGAAGGCCACATTTATCTAATCACCACATCTGTCAGAGTGCCAATTCACAGCTCCAGCTGCAACAAACGATTCTTTTCATTATTGTCTAAACTGCAAATTATTTTCTCATCAGGAAACTGGGGAAAATGCAACCCACGATATGAAGATTTCTCATTTTTATGCGTAAAAAATGCACAAAAGCAGTAAACACACATTAAAGGCCCTGGAGCCAGCAAAAATATTTGGCATTTCTGCTTCACTAATGACTCAAATGATTAATTGATTATCAAAATAGCCCATCAGTTGGTTGAACAATTGTACTGGCTTCACACAAACCAAAACAAAAGCACAAATAAAACTTAGGCACTCAATTTTGGATGATGCAAAAAAGAGTGATGTTGTGTAAATACACCAGCCCGTGACCCCCAGTTACTGGTCACCACATGGTAAACAAATATCAATATGCACAAGAACCTATTAATTTGTCAAAAAATAGCTAAAAAATATGGAGGGAAAAAAGTAACCTACTTGTTTGCCATGTAATCAAACATAAGAGAATGTAACCTACACCATTAATATTTTTTCATATCAGTAAGGCTACTTTTAAACTTTTCCAACCATTAAAACCTGGATAAATTGATTTAATATATCCTCCACTGTACATCAGCCCGTTCAGACTCTGTACTCACAGCACACTGGTGGCCAGCGGGATGTCCGCCGCTGCTGGGGCCCTCTCCAGCCCGATGTTGGAGCAGTTGACGACGCAGGACGGCTGGGGCCCCGCCGGCGCGCAGCTGCAGTTAACGGGACAGGGGCTGCAAGTCCTGCCGCCGCCGTCCCCCTGCGGCCCGGAGCCCCATGCCTCCAGGCAGCAGAGCGCCACAAGCAGACTGGAAAAGAAGCTAAACCTCGGGACGCAGACGCCATGTTTTCGCTTGGATAAAGTCTGTCCATTTCCACAAGGCATAGCTCACTCACATCTCATCGCCTCTGATGGTGTAAGTCCTCTCAGTCTGGGAAGGAACTAAATACACAGGACAAAGGCAAACAAACGCGTCCCTTTTCACGGCTCTCATGTGAGGAGACAAATAAAGAAGAAGGGATGAACTTTTTGACACCGTTATCTCCCCCCTGCGTTTCCTCTTTTCTTCTGATCGGATCCCCTTCTTCTGTAAAATCTAACGGAGCCTCTCCAGAATCCTTCAGGGGAAAAAAAAAAAGTTTGGAGAACTTCCTCTCTCCTCCTCTTTCCACTCCATGCAGTTCCCTGAGCCGCCAGCTGGGACCTGGCACACTGCTTTGTCACCCCCAAAAGCCTCATAACACACTCAGCAACTTACAAATAAAACATCAACAATTAACAGCAAATATAAAATAAACATACAAAAAGTGTTCATATTAAATAAAGTTTGTTGATTTATTATTTGTAGTCATTTTTCATAATTGTGTTCAGTGTTGGATTCACCTGCCACTGACTGGGCCTAAAAGCAAAAACCAGCCTTCACATATCACATCACACATTTTAACTGAGGAATATGTGGCACATATGACTTAAGACTGGTGAGACAATTGTAGTATAGTGCAAGGGCCCTCTGACATTTAAGCTGACATTTCACAGTAGACCTATATAGCCACATATCCCCAACCATCTTGCACTTGATTGCAAACCAATTAAGTTCACAAAAACAACCTTTGTGTTACCCTGACTGAATATGGCCCAGGATACATGCTGGCATTGCTCAGTTGATAATCCAGCCTTGCTTAAGGTGCAAGGTTCAGCTTATTCAATAATTAAAAAAATGTTATCGAGGAGAAAGGGACCATTTTATATGTAGCTGCCCAAAGACTGTGGAATTTTGGATAGATGTTTGATGGGCAGTGCAGGAGATTTTTCCAATTCAGTTCATCCAAAAAGCACATAAAATATAACGCAGTGAACACATTATTATAGACACAAGCCAAAAGATGTGTAGCACTGACATGGAAAAGCACTCAGAGACCAAGTATTGGGTACTGGCTCAAGGAAATGTCTATGTGTTTCCCTCACCTCAAAATTACATACACAATCAAAGATAAACAAGAGTGGTTTGAATGTATATAATAATAATAATAATACATTTATTTTATAAGACACCTTTCATGGCACTCAAGGTTGCCGAACAACAATCAGAAAAAAAAAAAAAATACAGGTAATACAATAAAAAACACATCTAAAATACAACTGAAAAACAGTGCAGTTTGCAGCAGAACATTAAAAGACAGAGGAAACTAACACTCATACGCGTGCCTATACAGGTAGGTTTTGAGGTGGGATTTAAAAACTAAAATCGAGTCAGTGTTTCTGATGTCAGGGGATATATGGGGCCTGTTTGTAAGATATTTTAGTTGCAAATATTTAATCACAACCTCTGCATTAAAACTTATGTAAACTTGTTGTATGCAACGTAATTGTATTACACAGTAGGCAATGAAGGACTTGTATCAGTGTCTGACATAAAGATCCCTCAATGTCAATAATTGTTATTATTATTTTTACGTATTGTTGCTGTTTGTGTTCCTATTTACTTATTTTTGTATACATGTATGCAAGTGAGTGTGTCATAATTTTTCAATTGCATTGATTGTCACCGTGCATGTATTTATTTTAAAGTTTTAAAGAAAAGGCAGTAGCTACTTTTGTAAACATTCACACTTTTGGTTTTCTGAATGTTCTTCTCTTGTGGTATAATTTTGGAAACCTAATAAAAAGATTGTTTTCTAATCAACCAATGCTGATTACAGAGTATGGGAAATTAAATACCTGTGAAATTAAACAACAAAAAAACAACAAAAGTGAAATAGGCAGAGTTATGCTTAGGGCTCAAAAGTGAAATTCTGATGTTTCTCACAAGCTTCGTCCTCATAAAGCTGCTGGGTCTTATCTCTTTCCACAAGGTCTCCAGCATGCTTTTCTGGCTATGACCTACAATCCTCTGTGCAGTGGACGATACATCACATCAGCTGAGCTGCAGACAAATGACAGCTTAGGGACCTTGCATTTGCTGTGAGCCAATGGCTGTGAGTTGGGTGTGCTTGAAGGCAGGTGTGTCTGAGTGTTTTGCTCTCTCTGTACAGGTATGGTGAACGTGTAAGGTCTGTGTGAATACTGTCTAATTAGTGAAACTCCTGTCTCATCCTGGTTGTTCACTCTCTTTGAAGGCAAGGTGCCATTTTGGCTTCCTGAAGGTTGAGGTGTTACCAGCCTTGTTCATGGTGTGGCTCAAAGAGGACAGTACCGGGTGTGTTAAATTGTGGATGGACTGAAGAAGCAAGAGACCTGCACAGCGTGACCCTCAGCCTTCAAACTCCCCCTGCCTCTCCTGCTAAGTAGACAATGACACTGACTCTTATTTGTAGAGATTGGAGGACCTTGTGAGTATAGATTTGTTCTCCCTTCTGGGTTTTAATATTTACATAATATAGGCTTTTAATGTTTCATGTGATGTGGTCTTCTGCCCTTGCTGACACTTGGTTGTCAAATCAGAACCTGTAGTCCCACTGCAACGTATTGCAGTGGGTGTTACATTTTGAGGATTTTGATATGTCATCAACATGAAATGGATTGGTATATGAGTATAGATGAGTGTAGATGTTTTCCCCCTTCTGGGTTTTAATATTCATATGGTATTAGCTTTTAATGTTTCATGTGATGTGGTCTTCTGCCCTTGCTGACACTTGGTTGTCAAATCAGAACCTGTAGGCCCTGGGCAACGTATCGCAGTGGGTGTTACATTTTCATAATTTTGAAATCAATGAATGTATTGACTCACCCCATAGGTGAAAAAGTGCAGGATAAAATCACACTGAAGATGGTTTCATTCTACATGCAGTGTTTTCTACACTTACATGCAGTGCCTGCTCCCTGCCTGTCACTGTTGTGGCAGCTGTTCCTAATGAGTCACAGACACAATGGTTTTCAAAAATAAGACTTTTATGAATGTGTTGAGTGAAGAAGCACAGCAGTGGACGGACTGTGCACATTTGAAATAATGGTAAAAAAAAAAAAAATAACAGCTATTCAACAATGCCATTTTCTATGGCTAGCTAACTTGAAGACTGGTACAAAATATATCGTTATTCCAACATGATTTCACCATGAATATTGATATCTTAATATTAGCTGACTTAATATAGATTGTGTCTGTCACTCTTTTTGTGGGAAAAAAAAATTCTTATGTTTTCTCTTCTGTGAATTGGGGGTTTGGACATTCATGTTGCTGCTAAGCTACTGGCTGACTAAATCGGCTTCAGTGAGAGCAGGAGGGGGGACTGGGAGCTTGAGCAGGCACTGTATCCGCATGGTCCTTGTTCATGCAGTTACCACATTTTGTTTTTTCATATAAACTTAGTTTTCAGACAGTAAAATGCCTCCTGTGTCCCCCTGTACATTATGGTCCTGTTCTAACCATGGATGGATTACTGAACAGGCCTATCGCGCACAGGCCAAGGGCCCTAATGAGTCAAAACGTCATTCAAATTAACATGTATTGACCAGGAGAAGACTCACAAAAAAAAAAAAAGGACACGAAAAATTAACACAGAGAGACACAAAACCACAAAAAGCCTGAGCTATCAGTGTCTGTGTTTTATTATTTCTGCACAAGAAGAGCTATCTCTGGGTTGATGAAAGATGTACCCCCTAACCTCAGCCTCCAGTATGAATAGAAGGATTCTGAAATCAAAGTACAAAAATGCATGATTTTTTTAGGTGAAAGTATGAGATCAATATGGAGCAGCCACGCTACATTCCTACATCTTGAGGCGATGATATGACTGCTGCTGATATTGCCTTATTCACCCACAGAGAAGTGATTTTTTTCATCTCACTGAAGCGTAGAAATGACACCACTCTCCTGTGATTTGACTGTGAAATGACAGTTGTAAAAACTTCCTTCACATTCTAGAGACACTTCGACCCTCCCTCTCCTCCCTGCAGTATTTCCTGAAGCAGCGCTGGGCACGTGTTGGAGGTGTTTCCTGGGTATTTGACTTGGCCAGGGCCCATCCATCCTCCCTGCAGGCGTCGGCTGCTCTGTACAAAGAAAAGAAGAGTCCCACAATAACTCTTGCGCTCTCTTATCCTCATTGGCAGCATTTCAATCCAGAGTTCATACTTGAGAAGCAAAACGTGTCAAGTAAGGGGCAGATGGGCCAAATGTTTTAGGCCAAATTATCTAAATCAGTGGCAAACTCAGGCTCTCTGAGAGATGGTCGAAAAAATAAAAGTGGCATCACCTGCGTAAGGTGAGGCACCAGAGTGCAGAAAGTTTTCTAGCATGTAAACAGCCTGTATGGCAGTGCATAATGTTATTTAATTTAAGGGCACCCACAGGGCACTTCATTACATTTTTGTCACTGGATGAGCAGGGTGCCCCACGAGGGCACATCTTATCTTGAGTCCTGACTAGCTCCTGAACCCTGGGTGTTGAAGTTACAGAGCCAATTCATGCCGAAAGCTTTCTTATACTTTAACAGTGAACAGGGTGAGTGGGGGATTACACAAAGGTCGAGACAATCCATGTCAAATTTAATTGAATGACCTGTAATTACAGTCAGAGCCACAAAGGGTTTCACAAGCCCATTTTATACAAAGGCACAAAATGACCATCATCACAGTCAAGCACAGAGGAAATGTGAGGGTAAATTGTAGACTCCTGAGCCAGTACTTTGACTTGATTATTACATGTTCAGGTTAATTAGCTTTTGTTGAATCAAATAATTTGGTGTTCTGCAAATCATGTTATTATTTTACAAAATTTTGCTTTTTAATGACTTGATGATTTTGAACATCTTACAACATACAGTACACAGTCTTGATAAATATTTGTAGTGAACATTATTGTAGTGAATATTACAGCATAAATCATATTATACATTTCTGCATGTAACACTACTTTATATGGCAAAATGTAGCACAATGCACATATCTGTATATTTTTTACACACATACAGACTCAACACAGTGAACATATTTATATTCTTAATTTCTTAAACACTAGTGTTAAACATTGTAGCATTATGCACATTTATTTCTATATAACTTTATTTTTTATTACTTTATATTTACATACCTCTTTTACATACTCTTATTCTTACTGCTTATAATTCTCTACTCTTTACATCGGAGCAAATGTATCA